CAACCGCGACGGTCCACGGGTCGTCCGTCGCTCCGGGTCGTCCGGGTCGTCCGGGGGACTGCGCCGCCTTTGGGATTCTCGGTGGTCTCGATGGAGTGAAGAAGGCTTAGAGTCTTGAAGCCATAGACCCACACCTGACCGTCACCGAAAGACCCAAACGCCTGACCGAAAGACCGACGACTGGTCGCACAGACTCGTCGACGGCTGGGCTGCGGAAACCCGGAAGAGTCGGTCGGTCCAGACAGTTCCGGCTCGACTGGGAGGTTGATCTGGGGGGGGACGTCCGTTGGCTGGGTCCGTTTGAAGCCTTCTCCATGCGCAGCAACCGAGAAGGCTTCAAGACTGGATGGCATGGGTGTGCTGATGAGGCCGATGAGGCCGATGAAGCCGATCCGTCGATCCTTTCCCAATCATCAGCACCATGGGGTCGACCATGCTAAAATCAAGCCATGAATTGAAACCGCATGACTCGATGATACTCGATACTGTCACTTGGTGTCACGAAGGGCTGAAAGAAGGGCAAGATTGAACACTGCGGAGATTATGACATTAAATACTCAATGTGAAACACGGAAAAAAGACCGTTCACCAAGCACGGATGACCACGGTTTGTGCCAAATTGGCAGTCCAATCAAACGAACAAACAATCTCACCTTCACTTCATCCCCCTAGAATCCCATCTCCACCAAATTTGTCAAACATCGGAGCTCAAAGCTTCTTAGCTTTCTCATCCCTATTCTCATTCGACTCAACTTCCGTCCATTTTTTCAAAGTCGTGAGCTGAAACTGTCTATAGAGTCTAGTTACTGTCTTCTTCATTTGCAGCCTTTTTTTGGTTTCCACGTCTAAAAACGATCCCTTTGCGTCTCGTTCTCATTCTCGAGCACACCTTGTTGCTGGTCGCCACCACCACCAGATCCCGGCGAAGCCTCGGAGATCTTGGATCCAACAAGAGGGGTGAAAAGGGGTTGCAAAAACGAACAAACAGAAAACACGAATTTACATTTCAGAAAACAGTGAAGCACAGTCATCATCTCATCTTTAAAATATGTAGTAGTTCTGTTTGTTGTTTTCTGTATGTAATATATATATATATATACCAGCACCTTCAAAGGAGTCACCAATGGAAGCCCCTACACTACTAAGGGACCTCCATTCGACACCCCTTGAAGGTCCAGGTATATATGTGCTTTCTGGCCTTTAGCTGTCATGGATCCCTTCCTCTCCACGTGTCTCAGCTCCCGGGCTGTACGGAGCGCACGGGGGTCTTGAACCGGAGCTCCGCCATGATCCGGGTGTTCCGGTCGTCCCACAGCACCACCTCCCGGTGGTTCGGTTTCCGGTGAAGGCGGAGAAGGGACTCCAGGACTCCAGGCACACCCTGGCCATGGGGTTTCTATTTAGCCCCTGGACGGGTCGGACGAGGTGATGATGATGATTCGGGGTGTCCAAGCTCCCCCGTGCTGGGTGACGGTCCGATCGGGATTTGGTACTTGTCTCTGGGAGGACGGGAAGACTCTCTCCTGGGTGGGTCCGACCCGTCAGGGTCCGACTCCGCCGGACGGATCGGAGAAGACACCGGAAACGAAACGGTCGGAAGAACACACGGTGGCCGGGCTTCCGGTGCCTCCCGCAGCGCCAATTCCCAGGACGTGCTTGTTTTTTGAGAAGAGATTGTTGCACATGTACACGGGTTTTTGGGATGAGGTTGATCCCTGAGTACCCGGGTGTGAAGCTATAGTGGTTAAATGATGCTGGGGGTTAACCTGCTGAATGCTTGGTTTTTGAAAAAGTAATACACTCTTCCAGCGTCCGCTTGGTAGCCCGTGACTAGACAATAAGTGGACTGGTCGCCATCATCGCCATCCCCCCACATTGGCGTCTTACTACACTATCATGGACACGGTTTTCTGGAGAAAGATCTTCGCACATCACATATCATCACATGGGCGCTAGCGGCGCCTCGGAATTTCCAAGAATCCTCCAATCGACCATTCTCCCCCGAAAAAATCTTCACCTCATCTCCCCCGATTCTCGACCAGAACCTGTCTGACTGGGCTATACAGAACCTAGTCGTTCTGCCAAGAGTCATTCTGTGGCTGGAAGCGCGGATTCTTGCCACCACCCGTGAAGGCCAGGATGTTGGTGCGGAACTGAGCTTTTTGGCGCGAGAGGGACATCGCTGTTGAGGTTGGCGGCGATGTTGAGCCGCACCGGGGTGAGTCGACCGGGGGGAAGGTCAACGACCAGAAGAAAAAGAGAAAGGGACCAGCCAGTTGAGGGAACAGCACCTTCTATTTTTGAGGAAGACAAGGAGGAATTGGTGATGATGATTCAGGGGGTCCAACGCTCCTGCATAGATGCCGAGACACTTCAGCTTGTCACCCTTGGGACAAAATCTTGTTCTCTCATGGAAGATCAGTAGTCATGTAGTTCGCGTGTAGCTCATCCTCATCCCTTCTACAAATTTATTAACCGTCTACTCCAATCGATGGGTCACGTTGTCACATTGGCCGCCCTGGGTGCTAGGAAAAATCCATCTCAGCTCATCGCCAGCATGCACACCACGCCCAGGCCACCACCATCCTGGAGAGCAGGCACATGGCTCGGGACCAGGAGAACCTCTGTGCTCCGTCGGTGGGAAACCCGGGGTACTGCACGCAGGGGGAGGCTACATCCATGGAATCCATGCATAGGTGGGTGGTCCCTCAGCATGCGTGGGGGCCCAGTCAAATCATCTGCTTTTGATTCCTTACATTCAAAATCATCACAGAAACGAAGAAGAGCAGAGCCTGAGACAGCTCCATTATGAGAGGGAAGGCTATGAGGTGCTACAAGTAGCTTAGTTGACAAGGTCTGGACGACTTCCTAGTTGACCACCTCCGTCCTGTCAAGCCCTGCGTGCGGCCAACTAGGACGTTCTTTTCAGCGTTAGCTGCTCAGCTGCTCTAGCCCTTCGTGGACATGTGGTTGAAGCCCACTCAAAAGAGGGGTAGGGCCAAACATGGGTGCTCCGGGTTGACCATCGGATTTATGGCGCTAAACTCCTTTTGCAACGTTGCTGCAAGTCGAACAAAGAGCATCAAAGAGCTACGTGCACTCGCCACTCATACTCTGTGATCCGCCTAGTCAGACAGGTCCCAGGCCGAACCTGGCGTACTTCGCCCCAAAGGACACTCGGGTTTCCTATACTCGCGCCATCTTTCTTATACGATAAACATATATAGCTGATAGCTGGTTATTAATTGAAATAACCAAAAATGCTGCCTTCTCCTCATCTCTCAGATCCACCCCCCATCTCCTCTCTTCGAAAGGTGAGGTGGAACGGATCCTGCCCCCCCCCCCGGCGGGCGGTTTTGGACGAAAACGCAGCATGCTGCGCTTGTTGGCATATCGCTGAGTGAGGCCGAGGGATGGATGCTTTAGATCGAACGACATCCTCAGAAGGTAGGAAAAGCACGAGACCTCAAACAAAATTGGGATGTATGCGGAATGTAGGGGAGCACCGGGAAGACATGAGCCACAGTGGAACGTAGACGAACAACTTCATCTTTTGATGGAAACATGGTGGAAACATACGCTACTGTGAGGATCATCATCTCCTATTCGACTATGTTTGTCTTCCTAAGTTATGGCCTTCGGAACTGACACTCAAAGCCTCAAAGCGACTACCGAGATCTTACACGGTATGTTTCGAGTTTCGAACCTTCTTTCGCCCCAAAAAAAAGGAAAAAAAACAACACAAAACAAAAAAACACGACAATGCCTCCTCCAACTCTGCAACATCACATTTCTGTTTGTTTTTTCCAAGTCTTCTGGAATCTACGTTGACATGAACACACACACACACAGATTCAGATATAACAACTGGACTGGCGCCATTCCTGTCGGGCTGAAAACCATTTCCTCGGTCCAGTGGAGGGCCTCGACGAACGCTGAAGACATGACGACGCGACCCGTTTGAGGTTCTCATTCGCCCCGAGTGGATCCACATGGCCACCGTACCTCAGGTTCGGTCTTTGGCACTTCAAGCCTAGATACATATGTATCTATAGTCTCCAATCCCCGTACCTCAGGTTCGGTATGTGGCTCCATACTAGGACGTACTTTTGATATCTTTTGATGTCTCCACCCCGGGTCTCCACCGTTTTCGGTCGATGTTCGACCACCGCGGAAGCCGCCGCTCCGTGCTGTAGACGCGGAAGCCGCTCTCTGTGCCGCAGACGAAGCACGTCTGGTCCTGGCATGTGGAAGTCAGAATGGTCGAGTTGATGGTGGTTGAAGGTAATTGATAGGAAGAACGGGCTTTGAGCAGCTTCCTCTTCTCCTTTTCCGAAAAACATATTGCAACATTGCCTTCGTACAGGCTGGGTGTCTATGATCTGACTTTCGGTCACTAGCTCAGGCGCTCAAGTGAACATCTCAGACCGCTTCCAGGGGTGCCCTTGTCACATCCACTCACCGGATGGGGCTTAAAAACACTCCAACTCAGTGACATTTTGTGACTCTCAGGCCTCTTCCAGGGGTGCCCATGGTGCCCCTCACTGGACTAAAAACCACCCCCGACATGTGACTCCAGGGTGCCCATATGGTTCAATGACTCCAGGGTGCCCATAGATGTCTGTATCAACTTCATGTCCAAGTTCTCTCCTGGTTGAAGTTCACGTAAAGGATCTCATTCACCTTGGCATCGAACACCGTCGCCCGGGATCTGAAGGGTCCCAAGTGCCAAAAGAGATGAACAGCCGCAGAACGAACACCGCCAGCCAGGCACGGTGAGCTTCGGTTTCCAACACAACACGTACATTCCGCGTGCGATCTCACATGTTCACATGACCCTTCCGCATGGAAAAACGCCTTTTTTTTTCCGCGGAGTTTCCACAAGTGGCGTGACGTGAGAACATGACGCGCGGTACAAGTTTTGTTCTCACAAATGTGTTATATAATTTGTTGGATCAACGTTTGGGGGTGACCTTGAGAAGATTGACGGCCCAAATGCTTCACAGATTGATGTTCGTGCTTTGGGCGAATCCAAATGGGGTGGCGCAAGATGGAACAAGAACGTCAACCCTGGTGTCACATACTCTGATGTCGGAACACAATGATGAATGAGATCATGGGCAAACGACGTTAAACAAAAGAGTATGGTAAAGGTCCCACAACTCTCTCCCTCTCTCCCACAACTCTCTCTCTCTCCTCTCTCTATCTCTCTCTCTCTCTCTCCCCCTTGCTCCCTCTCTCTCTCTCTCTGTCTCGGCAATCAATGCAGCACTTAAATGACTGAACATTTGTTGGTCATGGTGGCTGAATGTAATTCTTAGATACATACCTTCCCCATCCATTCACCTATTCTGGACCTTGGTCACGTCCAGCACACTCCAGCACCAATGGCCCCTGCGCGTTTCTTTGAACTCCTCTTCTTCGACAACTCTTCGATGATCACATCACCTTGCCCAAAGCGAACTCACCTCACCGTCTGTGTCATCCGTGTGCCATCCGTGCCTTCTGGGATGGACACTGAGATGGGACTCTCAGCAAGGAGCTTCAGCATCAAGGTCTGTGTTTCATCTTCGGCGTTCACATCTCCAAAGTATGCGATGGTTGGTGCCTCCCAAAGCACCGCCCGATTTCACGGCCACGATGGCACTGGTGCGGGCCTCGTCCTGGTCCTCCTCAGCTTTGTAGTCATCAAACCAAGCACGAAAAAGCTTGCAGTCCTGAGATGTAGCAAAGAACGTCTCCCGTGTTGGAACATTTTCGAGCATGCAGCCCTTGACTGAGAACTTGGCTGATTGCATACCGGGGAAAAACTTTGCCACGTTTTCTGCATTCCTTTGCACTGCTGCATGGGTTGCGCGGAAATAGGTGCTGCACTTCCACTCCACAACATCACTGAACACAGGCTCGAGAAACTTCGCACACCAGTTCCCACCCTCTGTGGTTGGAAACAAAACGGTTCCCTTGTGTGTGCGGACAAAAGTCTTCAAGGGACCTGCAATGTACCGAAGCGCTTCATCAAAACTAACAGTTAACACTCAAATCCGAAACTACAATGGCTCGGAAGTCTGCAGGATTTGCACAGGCAGCCAGAATCGCCTTCTCGCACAATTCGCCACTTTTGGGATTCTCATCCTGCAAGCCCACATGAACTACACCACACTGCTGGAAGAACGCTGGGTCGGATGCAAACAAGGCCTTGGTGACAAAGTTCTCTTTAGCACCAAACATGCCAAAACCATCAAGAAGAAGCACTTTGCCTGATCGTGGTAAGGGCTTGGGCAGCTCGCACAGCAAGCCCAAATTGTCCTCCTTTGCTAAGATGGTCTTCAAGCTGTTCATCCGACCCACATAGAAGAACTCAACGCCCCAGCGATCTTCATCGTTCTTTTCCACGAAGATCTTGCCAGTGAAGCCATTGTATTCCTGAGATCATCTGACTTCTTTCCAGATGTGACACTGGAGTTGTGGAGGCCTTTAAACATAGACACAAATAGAAGCCAAAACACATCGTGAGGCACGGCTATTCCAGTTTGCAGACCAAGTCTCTGGCTTCTTTGACAAGCCTTTGATCTGCACGTATGTTCCCACTTGGAAAGCCATGGCTTAATGCTTTTCAACACGTGATGCGGAGAACGTTTGTCTGCAACACCGGCAGACAAACGTATTGGGGGGGAACGAACGCTGTGGTCGCTTGCTAGCTCCCGCTCCCGCTCCGGGGCTCGCTCCAGCGGAACGAAAGTCCAACTGCGCGGGTGTGGTAAAAAACACTTGAACATTTCTCTTCCATCCGGAAGGTGCGAGTTCGGATCTGTTGTTTTTGGCTGTCAAAGACACCTCCGCCAGGGATTGGGGGAAAAATACCAACTGACTTGGCTTTCTCCTACGACGGACCTGACCTGCCCGACCGCTGCAGTGGTTCACCCCGAAGCCGACCGCGAGGTCGTGAGGATCGGTGGAGGGCAACTTCTCCTATCCCAGGCACTGGACTGGCATATTTACATACATTGACCCCGGCTCAAGCACCTGAATGTAGGTAAATATGCCAGTCCCATGGAGTGTTTGGGTATAGTAAGTTACAGTAAATGGAGTTGTCCTGCATCTAGCAGGCATCGGAATCATCTTCCGCCAGTGAAACCTCCGGACTTTGCCAGTTGGAGAAACAAAGAAAACCGCCTGCACTTCTGGGCGTCTGTTTGGAACCCGAAGAGGACCTCAGAAGCCTTGGAGATCCTTGAAGCATCCAAGATGGCCATGGACCTCAAGAGGGCTCCAACTGCTTTTCGTTTTGGAATCCTTTTCGGAGGTGGACCGGACCGACGTCCAAAGAGCTCGGAACGCGGGCTCGAAGTCGGGTAGCCCGGATGGAAGCCGTCAGGGGCCCCGAAAACACCCGGGGACACCGGTAGAAACGCCATCGAAACCCCGGCGCCGGGGAGACCGGGTGGAGCGAGTTCGACCTTCGTTCGTGCAGAGATGAGACCTTGGGCTCCAGGCAGGATTGCTCTGAAGATCCATT